TCACTCGGAAAATTGGGTCCTGAAGGCAGGAGCTGCCAGCTGCTCCATGATGTGCTTTGCCGCCTTCCAAGTTCAGGCTGTGCCCGGCAGCCTGACCCGCTCCCCTTTCCAGGCTGCCCTCAACCCCTGCTGCTGTCCCCTTCCCACCAGTCCTTTGCAGCTTCCCATGTAATTTGCTGGGAGCAAGCCTCATAAAGTTTGATCCTACTTGCTAGGACTGCGTGGACGAGTGCAACGAGCTCATGTTTCTGGCAGTGGAGTATGAGGGTTAATGTGCGACCCAGAGGGAGCTGACTGCCTGGGCGTTTTTCAGGAATGGGAGGCAATTTAACAGCCTTCAGGCTTTCAAAGTGTCAGGAAAATAAAACCTGCCTCCTCTGGGTGGGCTAGATGTGCCTGCTCTCTAAATTCTTATGGTGTGTCAGGTCCCTTTTCCATGAGCAACCCCTCTCTTTTCTGCCCCTTGTCCTGGGACCTTCAAACCTTTATAAAACAAAACCTAGTTGTCATATCATCCCCTTGAACCACTGGGCCCACCTAGGGGTTCACTGTCTCTTTGGTCACAATCCATGCTGCCAACTTTCCTACTTCCCTTCCCATCATGTTAGTCACACCCTGCCTCTTCCTTCTCTACCTGATCTCCTTACCGCCCCTCCTTCCTCCTCTTCATTTCCCCTGCCTCTTCTCTCTCCTTCCTTGCCTTTCTCCCCTCCCTATTATCCTTTATACTTCCCTAAACCTCTGCCATGTGGCTTATTGGCTTGGCATCTCTGTGTTGCGTGGACAGATGGACAGAGACCAGAGCAGTGAAGTGGGCAATTTCCCAAGGTGAACTAAAAAGCTTTGCTCTTGATCCTTCCAATCCAACCCAAAGCACTTATCAATTTAACCAACATGTGGGGAGCCCTGTGATTTGCAATCTCCGTGTTGAACATGGGACTCTTTCTACTCCACACTTGGATCCCCCTGGAGTACTACAACCGGTACTACTGATGTTTTTACCCAACCATCTTTTGCAAATACTATTGCTAATGACTACATTTGCAAGCTCATTAAATAATCCCCCATTTATTATTCATTCAGATATACAGCTTTATTGGGCATCTTCTATGTGCTGATCATCATGTTAATCGTTGGAGATACGAAGTTCCCTTCATGGGACTCATAAAAATCCCTGGAAGAGCTGGGTCACAAGATGTTTGGTGACTAGGCTCAAGTTACAGAGCTAATGAGTGGGCAGCTCGGATTATTTCAGTTAGATATAAATGCTCATTCATCAGCATGGTTTCTCAAACTCGGCTCTACATTGGAATCAGCTGGAAAATTAAACTATATATATTGACATCTGGGTTCCACTCCCAGAGATTCTGATTTCATTTACATGGGATACAGGCTCAAGATTTCACAAAGTGCCCCAAGTGATTATTTTTAAAAAAGACTTATTTATTTATGCATACATGAACTGGGGTACAGGCCAGAGTTGTGGGGGATGGTGAGAGGATTCACCAGAGACAGAGTGGGAACAGAACAGGCAGACTGACTGAAATGCTAATGGGCCACAAAGAGCCACAGTCAAGGGCACTTTGTAACCAGACCAGCTGGTATTGTGTTTAGTGGTTCACATGTTCATTTGCACACAAATGAAGCTTGTTTCTTCTGTCAGGCTAAAGACAAGTTTTGGGGCACAGCTGTGTCTCCTGCATTTTCTATATGACCCATAAGCTTATCACAATATTGAATGCAGCATCAAGAGACACTAAATACTTGTTGGATTATTCCAAATAGTATAGCAAATTGGAGGGTGGGGGTTGGTGGCCCAGGAGCTCCCAGGCCCTCCCTCAGTGCTGTGGGTCTAAGCCTTTTCTCTGATCCCTCTGAAAAACACCTCACAACAAAATACTTCTCCTTTAAACTTCAAAGAAGCTTCTTTACCCTCTCTCAATTTCCTCACTTTTATAATTTACAGAATTCTTTGCTCTAGGAAATCTCTCCCTAAGTGTACTACCTTCCAAATTGCCTACAGGTGCCAGGTTGACTTTTCTCCCTTTCAAAGCTGCCACTAGCTCAAGGAGGATCCACCCAGGCTTTCTTCTCCTCTCCCCACCTCTGCCCACGCTATGGACCAAGGAGAAGCCTTCAAAGGAAGATGGCCATGCAAGTTGCTCCTACATTGTGAGAGTCCTCCCCAGAATCACCATTCACAGCAATTTCATGGCAACATCAGTCCCTTCTGGCAGGCACCTCAAAACTCTCCGACCTCTTCCCAATACCCCAGCCCAAAGCTGTGTCTAAGTTTTCAGTATTCTAACACAGGACCATGATTGGTGCCAATTTCTGTCTTAATCTGCCCAGGTTACTGTAACAGATACTGTAGACTGTGTGACCTAAACAACAGAAATGTATTTCTCACAGTTCTGGAGGTTGGGGAGTCTGAGATAAAGGTGCCTGCAGATACTGTTCAGTGAGGGCTCTCTTGGAGGCATCAGTTTTCTTGTTGTGACCTCATAAGGGAGAAAGATCTCATGGCTCTTCCTCTTTCTCTAAGGGCATTCATCCCATCCCATCCTTTATTTTTTTTTTTTTTAAGATTTATTTATTTATTTATACAAGCACTGGGTATAGTCAGAAGCATGGGAGGGTGAGAGAATTCACCAGAGCCAGAGCGGGGAGCAAAACAGGCAGACTGACGAAGTACACTGCTGAGGGGAGCAGCAGGCGCAGCAGAAGAGATCTGCGCGCCATGTGGGAACCGCACCAGGGGCCTGGGATCGAACCAGCACTGCAGAGGCTTGGGCAGCTTCACAGCCCAGCACTCAACCACTGCGCCACCAGGGGAGGCCCACCATCCCATCCTTTTCCATAACCTAAATGAACCCCAATGAATTGCCTGAAGAGAATTACAGCTTCAACGTATAAATTTTGGGGTACATAAACATTTGGTCTATAGTACTCTGCATCTCTATTTGGAGGGGGGGGATTCCACTACTTCAGACTCAAAGGATGATCTGTGAGCAACGCAATTCACCCCAAACAGCTCTTGGTTCTAGGAAAATGCAGTGTTTTAGTTACAACTCCTGAAATGTAAAGATGTGAAAAATGGGGTTAGGTAAGGTAGGACCTTAGAGAAGGTAGGATTAGGGAAGGTGGAATATTTTAAGAAGCTTCTGGAAAGGACTCATTCATTCATTCAATTAGTCAGTGGATTAACATTTATTGAGTCCTTTAAAGCAAATGCTGTTTCTAGGCAGAGATGAACTAGGCATAAACTGCCTCCAGGAGCCCCCGGTTTAAAGGGGGAGAAAGACATGAGTGAAGTGTCACCATCCCCATAGAGCACAGAGTAGAATTTCTGTTCCAGTACAATGGGTCAGAAGTGGCGTTGCTAGGGAGGATTTCCAGGAGAAAGTGAGCTGAGAGGTTAGATTTGAAGAGATGCAAATGTTGGCTGAGTGAGTGGGCTTAGGATACAGTCACCCCTCCTGTGAGCAAGCAGAGCTGTATCTGGTGAGCATAGGGTGCAGAGAGCTGTGGAGGAGGGACAGCAAGAAGAGGAAGAGGAAGCAGGCAAATCAGGAAAGGAAAGGCCTCATGTGATGTCTGGGGGTCCGAGCTTCAGTCTGATCACCTGTCACATCCCTAGACCTAGGGCAGTAACTGGCCAGTCTCTGCTACCAGCTCCCTCCCGCCACTAAAAGTTCAGACAAATCAATAAAATTTGAGGACAAAAAAGGTGATTGGATATGCAAATTGTGGTAAAGCTCTCCAGTGCAGTACTACTCAGTAATAATTTTAAAAATACATGTTGATATAAATAAAGTCTATTAAAAATTGTTGAGGTACAACAGTGTATTTCGGTCGTCTGCCTGTTCTGCTCCCCGCTTTGCCTTTGGTGAATCCTCTCACCCTCCCATGCCTTCACCTGTACTCCAGCTCTTATATAAAAATAAATAAATCTTTAAAAAATTATTGGGGTAATGATGGCTTACAACACTGTATGTTTTAGGGATATAGGTTCACATCTCTACAAATGTATGTTATCCAACCATCCACCCCTCCCAAAGCACCAGTAGTCTGAGAGTTAGCATCTTTGCAGCTTATGTTCATGAGAAAGCTGACCTCCTGATTTTTTATAGTACTTACCAAGTACCATTTTTTTTTTCATTTAAAGCTTCCTTTCGTTTCATCTTTTTTTTTACCTCAAATATAAATTAAATAGAATTTTAGACCTCAAGAAATATAATTTTATCAATAAATAAAATAATCATGTTCCATAAAAAAAAAAAAATTTGAAGGTTATGAAGGTAGTAGCTTCACATGGAACTGCTCAGTTGGTTGGCAGACCTTCTGCAAAGAAGCTCTCAGGTTCCAGCTTCAAGAACATTCCTCCATTGTGTTTAGCTAGTGTGCCATAAAATTCATAGGCAATTTCTAGTTGGGAGTTATATTTTCTTTGAGAACTGCAGTTATGCCAGCAGTAGAGCCACATTTTAAACAATACAGATTCCCCCTCGCCTGAAAAATAAAGAAAATCTATATTCCCAAAGGCATCTGCCATATCTACTTTCTATTGATGTCAGAGATTTTTATGGATGAACTGATCCATGGCTTTTTTCCTTAATACCCACCCAAAACGTGGGTGAGTTATTTTTCCATCTGCTGCTGCGACTTCAACAAGTCATTTACTCCCAAGTCCCTTCTTAGATGAATGAGTGCCAAAAACCTTCAAAGCTGGGGCCAGAAAAGACCCCATTGAAAATACCTTTGTTTGCTTTTAAAACCATAGCAGGAGTCTCTGGAAAACCCATGTTCTGTTTGCTGAAGGGCCCTGAGTTGCCAATAAGCTGAGTTTGCAGAAGCCCTGAGGGAATCCTGTTGTGTCCTCATCATACACTCTGGACAGCACCGCTCTCTCATTTCTGGATATATCTCTATATGTTTATATATTTATGAGAACGCTGATGAGCTTTTGGAAAAAATGCAACAATTTTATTTCTGTTTATTCTGGATAACCTTTTATTAACCTGATTTTTCCAAGTACAATGGAGACTTCAATCTCTGTCACAAGACAGTCATTTTCAAGTATAACACAAGGAAATGGTAAAAGAGTAAAGAAAGGATTTGTGGGAAGGAAAAACCAAGCTCATGTGAAGCTGCAGACATTTCAAGATTGTGTCCTCATGACAACTAGGGAGGCAGGCAAAATCATCCCCATTTCATAAGGAGGATATAGAAATTTAGATAATTTGAGTATTTTGCCCAAGATCACAAAGTAGGAAGAAGCAGGTCTGGGTTCTACAGGTCTACACACAGGGCAGGCTTCTAATTATTATCTGTGGATTTGAAATTCCACATGCAAAATTAGCTGGGGGAAGAGAAGGTTTCTCTGATTAATTTGTGGAGTGATTAATGAGGGATGTAAAATTTGATAAAAAAGAAGATACCATCAGATTTGTTAAGTGCTTCTCTACCTTACAAACCCTTCTTCAGCTCTTATAAAAGGACCAGGCAAAGTGTGGATTTTACAAGCTCTTGGCCACCAGTGCATACAACCTATGAAAAAAAAAAAAAACAATAAACAGCAGCTTGACAGAATTATTTAATGTATTAGCCACAGACTAGGAGAGGAACCCAGTCTCCCAAATCTACATCAGAGTCATCAACATACTTCAAAATCCATACGGATTTCCTAAGTCTACTGTATCATCATTTCTGGAAATGGGCCATGGGACCTGTATTTTAAACAAATTCCCCAGATAACTTTTCCTGACTCCCAAGTTTATAAGCCCTTGTAATTTTCCTTCCTTCTTCCCTCCCTCCCTCTTTACCTCCCTCTCTCTTTCTTTCCCCTCTCTCCTCTTTATACATGGACTTTGTGAATTGGAAGACCTAGTTCCTCCTGTTCACCAAGGTGATACTGTCCTAAGAACTTGCTAATCTATCAGTGTTTTCTCATCTAAAAAAATGTGCTAGAAGGGAGACTAGAAAATGTTCTTCATTCTCATTTTAAACAAACTTTACCATTAGCTGTTCCTGTTCTCTAACCGTGACTTCTCTTTATTCCATGTTTTTCATTTTCTTATCATTGTGATAGAGAATATATGATCATCTTCCCTCGTGTAATAACAGTCCCTATAATAAAAGCAACTCTTAAATCTTCAGAATCCTTTACCTCAGACTGAAACTCTGTCCTTTTAGCTTCAGAATTATGAAATATTTTTAGACTGAGGCACTTCTTAGTTGTGGACCCTGAGGACAACATCACAGAAGCTCCAAAGATATATTTTTCCAATGTGACATATTTTGAATAAATATTATTAAAGATTTGAACTGATTTCACTTCAAAATGGAAATATACATTTTCAGTTTTTCTTGTTGCCTTACATTTTATTTTAAAATTTTCACCTAAAATTAGAAGGTATATAAAAGCTGACACAATCATTTTTGAAATCACTGATCACAATGATACTTACACAAATCAATGAAAATGATCAGCCTTCTTTCACCCTTGCTCAGTCAAGTTTCATAGCAACTTATGATCATGGGGAAAAGGTTGTTCAACAGCTTTCTAGTAGTTTTCTTTTTTCCTTCTATAAAAGACAGTATCAGTAAAATGTAGAAAACCATCCTCTCTTCTTCCTATTCTTGCATCTCACCTCCCACCCCCCACAAAAGAAAAACTATTTTTTTTCCAAATACCTTGGAGGAAATTCCAGTTTGGGCTTAAAAAGATGATTCATGTTGTATTTTTTTCATGACATGAAAGATCATAGAAATGCCCTAGGGAAAAAAAAAAAGAAACAACAGTTTGGGAGATATGACAAGGTTAACAGAAGGGCACAGGGGTCCCCATACAGAGTCAAGTCACTGCCACTCCTCTCCCAGCACTTGGCTAATATTTGTACTCACTTATTCTGTGACACTTCTGGTACCTTTGGGAGCTTGAAGCTTTCTTGGCTCTATAGAAGAATAATTGTAAGCTTTAGAGTTTGTTAGACATATGCAGTAGGGCTAGATTCAGTCAATACCCAGGCAGATTCTAACTTTTGAATCTAGCCAAAAAGGGAATGACTAGCTGTTCTTTATTTCCTTTTGTTCTACCTTCTTGTCTTGACTTGTAGAAAAAAAATAAAACATTTAGAAATAGTCGATGAAAGATAAAATTACTTGAGAAGGTGTTGGGGGCATACACTCTTCCTTTCTGGCTCTGTCAGAGGACTTGGTAGGCAGAATTATTGAGCAAAGAAACCCTGGGCTCCCCGAGGAAAAGGAAGGGTTGACATTAACACTAACACGTGGGACTGGCACAGAGTCGGTGCCTGTTGGCAGGATCTATGTGCAGCACGGTGCTTTATGACCTGTAGATGCCACTCTTCCCATTGCCAGCCCACTCTGTCTGGGAAAGACCATTCTGCCTGATGTCCTAAATGTCACTTACAAAAGAGCCCTTTTGTTTCTAAAGGATCTTTTCCTTACTCAAGGCGTTTGGCTGCCAATGCATAAAATCTACAAAGAAAAACAAGCCATTCCTGGGCAAGACATCAATGGCAGCACCTTCCTCTGGCTCAGGGGATCAGGGTAGGAAAGGAAGACAAGAGAGAGATGGCCAACTCCTGTCCATCACAGCCAAAAAACAAATGTGGTTTGCAGATGCCTTGGACAGCAGTGGACATTTGGCTCTGAAGAGCCCCCATTTGTTTCACAGTCAACCTCACATATAGTCTGAGGGAAGCAAGCAAATGCTCTCTCTTCTGCCCAGCCCTAACTGGAGCACAGACACACTGTCAGCTGAACAGATAGGATGTCCCACTTTCCACCACAGAAAACTTCAGGATGCAGAAATGATCAAACATCCCTTCGAACAGGAATTCTTCTTTGAGAACCACCATTATAAAATCTTTGCAGAAAGAGATGGATAATTCAAAAACAGTTTCTTCAAAGTAAGACATCAATCAAAATCATCACTATTCCATTGGGACCTAGAGTGTCAATCAGATCACGACAGCACAAGATGTGTCCTCGGCTTCTTGAGAGTGGAAACTGGTGGGGTGCTGTCTGTGGCATATCCTGCATGACGAGACGCACTGTCCTGAATCTACAGAGGTGCAGGTCCTCAGAAATATACTCATGAGGTGCCCCCAGAGTGGGGTCTAATAACACAAAGTTTTCCCTTATCTCCTTCACATTTTGTTTGTTTGGCATCCCTGATTCCTCATCTTGCCTTCTTCACCTTCTGCATCGCTGTTGTTTATGAGCTGACTCTCCCTCCTTCAACCTGACCTTGTTGGGTCCTGAGGAGATTCCCAGGGGTCCTAACTTTCCCATTGGTTTTCTACCAGCCTAAATGGAGCTGAGTTAGTAATGGCTGGCAGCAACAGTATGTAGTGTCCTTCCCAGGTGGCACTTTTTCTTTAAAAGCTTCTGTTATTTGCCATCTGAAGAAATGTCCGTGTTGACTATGCCAACTATGGGATAGGCCCATGGGGCCCCTGTACTGGTCGTGATCAGGCGTTCAGTTTTCAACAAAGACTCCTAGATTCTGAAAATTTTTGTTCAGAAGAGGATCCCCGTCTGCAATTCCTTCTTTCGGTCCAACTCAGCGAATGTTTTGCTATTGGTAACAGAACCACATGCTCCATAAATCACTGACCTCGGTACTAAAGCATTTTCTCTAAGGTACTTTTTGGTGAAAATGAGACTCAACTATACATGAAACAGTCACAAAGCAGTAGGACAAAGCTCATAAGCAGGCACTAAACTCTGAAGCAGAGCTGACAACACATAGCAGTTCCAACAAGGAAAAACCAATATAGATGATGGTTTTAGAGGCTTTGGCATTTTCGGTTAGCGGGGCGAAGGAAAAGCTGTTCAGTGTATGGGAAAGGTGCTCAGCTATAGTAAAAGTCAGAGCTAACCTAAAAATGATGCCCTGAGCCACTGAGTGAAAGGCTGCCTCTTTTAAATGTTGCTTTTCCTCATCAGAAGACTACCGAAGTGTAGGTGTGGCAAGATGCCCCTTGGCCATGCAGAAGCAGTCAACACAGGCAGTGCTGAGGATGTTACACTGGTTCTCCAGGCACAGCATGTGACCATAGCTGTCAAACACTTGGGAAGGGAGACATTTCTAAATGATCAAGTGCCCAAGGGCCAGGGTTCAATCCTGAGTAGTCAGTTAACTTTGCCTGTTTCACTCTGTGGGCATGTGGTGTTAATGCTGGACCAGCTGTTTCATGTTAGCCTTAAGAGGCCTGGATAAGAAATAAACAGTATGATAAATCTGCCACCACTATTTTCAAAAATCCAGTTTAATACCAGTCACAGCTACTGATACTGCATTAGAGATCTCAGTTGTTGTTGTTGTTTTTCCTGTTTGTCATTGTATTTATAGGGTACATCATTAAAATATACTCATAGTAGCAGTACAACATAGTGGCTGAGTGTAGCTAAAAGTAAATTGCCTGAATTAAAAAGATACCTCTGCCCCTTAGCTACGTGACTTTGGACAAACTACTTAATGTCATTGTGCCTCATATTTTTTTAATTTGAAAACTAGGGATGATGATAAAAACAATACTTCCATAGGATTATTTTGAGGAATAAATGAGATAGTATATTAAAAGAGATCCTGGAAATGTATTGGGTGTGCCATAAATAGTAATTCGTCATTATAACAATGTTCTTGGATCTTGGAGGGCATCTACTTAAATATTACAATTTTCAACTAAGGATACTGAATTTTTGAGCGGTAAAGTGACTTTCTGAAGGTCATTAGACTAGTGGATACTATATCTCCGGACCCGGACTTATAGAAGAAAAAATGACATTTATGTGTTACCTTCACCATTAACAAAGCACGTTCCAACACATTATCCTCCAAACACTCCCTGTTATACATGTTGCCTCTCCAAACTGAATTGCTGAGGCATTTTTCAGGCACCCAAGTATAAGAGTTCCACAGGGAATGATGCTCGGTAGGTTCTGGAAAGAGGTGCTTGTGTAATGAGATGTGGGAAGGGCAGAGGGAGGGCAGGTCCCAGCAGTGTGCAGACAAATGTGAGGCCTTCGGTGCTGTGGCAAAGTTACATTCTATTATTAATTTGATGCTGTGTTAAATTAGCCATTTTTATGAGCAGCAGAAACAATTTCTTCAGGGAGAGCATGCTATAGTCTGAGTCTAACTGTCCCAACAGGCTGTTGAGATGGTGCCTATTTCTTTTGATGATTAGGAACGAGAAGCTGTAATAATGCCAGGTCTGCTGCACTTCTTTCTTGAAGAATTGGGTCTGGCCTTGGGAAATAATAACTGTCCTGCCTTTGGTCACTTGAAGCCTACCTCTCCTAGCTTTGTCCCTTGTGTGAGTCATCAGAAGATGGTCTCTCAATAACAATCTGGAATGCCAAGGTCATCCACTTGAGTGAGTCCTTTTGACTGTGTGCCTATCTGTACAGGCCTCCAATTCCTTTTTTTTTTTTTTTTTGAAGCAAGATGAAAGAGAGGATGGTTTATTAGAATCTCTCTGGCCTTGGTCTCTGAGGGAGACCAGAGAGTTTTATTTTTAAGTCACCTGGATTGATGGGATGACATCAAATGTACATTTATATTAAAAAAAAAATAGCCTGGGGGCCCTCCCTGGTGGCAGCCACTGCAGCACCAATTATATCCCCTGCCAGCCAGGGAACTACCCACATGGTGCAGCAGACCTCTGCTGTCTCACCTGCTGCTCCCCTCAGCAGTGTATTTCAGTCATCTGCCTGTTCAGCTCCCTACTCCCTCTGGTGAATCCTCTCACTGCCCCCGCCCCACACTTCTGGTGTATACCCTAGATCTTATATGCATAACTAAATAAATCTTTTTCAAAAAAAAAAAAAAACAACAACAATAGCCTGATGGCATATACATGTTAGGGACAGAATTACTGGAGACAATAGATATTAAAAGGCTAACTTTGGGTGTGGGAATTGTGTATGAGGACCACAGTAGGAGTGTAGGAGAGTTGTATGCAGTAAGAAGACTTGAAGCATTTTGCTACAGGAAGAACAATTTAAAATATTTCTGTTTTTCTTATGATTTGTTATTAAAATCTATTAACAAATCATTAGAATTCTTTTGAAAAACAGTGAAGGAATCAGGATTGAAGTATAATCTGGTGAAGACAAGACATGAGTAACTCTCCCAGCAGGCTGTTGAGATGGTACCTATTTCTCTTGATGAGGAGGAGAGGGAATGGTGGAAAGCATTCTACATGGTTGGTGGAAAGCAGAGGGCAGGAAGGAAGTTGAGTAAAAAATGTGCTGAGGTACCCAGTAAAAACCTGAACAAAATTCCTCTTTCTACTATTAACAAGTTAATAGGTAATGCCATCCTTCGACTCCCCTAGTTTTAGAGATATTTTTCTTCTTTTCTTCACTAGGTTTGTGTATTTTGTCCTCCCAAAATTCCTAAGTTGAAGTCTTAACCTCCAACATGACTGTATATGAAGACACAGACTTTAGGGAGGTAATTAAGGTTAAATGAGGTTATAAGAACAGCCCTGATCCAGTAGGACTGGTGTTCTTATAAAAAAGAGGGAGAGACAGAGGGTTCTCTCTCCCTGCATGAGCACAGTGCAAAGGCCATGTGAGGACATGGTGAGGAGGTAACTGTCTACAAGTCAGGAAGAAAGGTCTTAGCAGAAATTCCCTCTGCAGGGTGCTTGATCTTGGACTTCCAGCCTCCAGAACTGTGAGAAAATAAGTTTATTTAAGCCACATATTCTGTACTATTTTGTGATGACAGCCCAGACTAACTAATACAATGTGTTGTTCTGTTAAAAGAACACTCTCTTATGCACTATTGAACTTGGCTTTATATTAAATTTTCCTTGGTGCTTTTTTACCTAGAGTGCTGTACCAGTCAGTTCCCCTTCCTTTCCTGAAAATATAATCCCTTTCATAAGACTACTTAGCTATTAGACAGCTG